CTCACCGCAACCTCCGCCTCCTGGGTTCAGGCAATTCTCCTGCCTCAGTCTCCTGAGTAGCTGGGATTACAGGCACGCGCCACCATGCCCAGCTAATTTTTTGTATTTTTAGTAGAGACGGGGTTTCACCATGTTGACCAGGGTGGTCTTGATCTCTTGACCTCGTGATCCACCCGCCTCGGCCTCCCAAAGTGCTGGGATTACAGGCGTGAGCCACCGCTCCCGGCCCTTATTTTTATTTTTGAGACAGAGTCTCGCTCTGTCACCGGGCACCAGGCTGGAGTGCAGTGGCACAATCTCGGTTCACTGCAACCTCCGCCTCCCATGTTTAAGCAATTCTGCCTCAGCCTTGTAAGTAGCTGGGATTATAGGAGCTCACCACCACGGCCAGTTAATTTTTGTATTTTTAGTAGAGACGGGGTTTCACCATGTTGGCCGGGATGGTCCTGATTTCTTGACTTCGTGATCCGCCCGCCTCGGCCTCTCAAAGTGCTGTGGTTACAGTCATGAGCCACAGCGCCCAGCCTAGGCATACTATTTCTTCTTCTTCTTCTTTTTTTTGAGACGGAGTTTCGCTCTTGTTGCCCAGGCTGGAGCGCAATGGCATGATCTCGGCTCACTGCCACCTCTGCCTCCGGGTTCAAGCGATTCTCCTGCTTCAGCCTCCCGAGTAGCTGGGAGTACAGGCGTGTATCACCACGCCCGGCTAATTTTGTATTTTTAGTGGAGATGGGGTTTCTCCATTTTGACCAAGCTGGTCTTGAACTCCTGACTTCCGGTGATCTGCCTGCCTCGGCCTCCCAAAGTGCTGGGATTACAGGCGTGAGCCACTGCGTCTGGCCCTAGACATACTATTTTTAAGGGCAAAGGAAATCTAAAAAATATTCTGATACTACATATGTGACAGTAAAAAATTAATGTGTACATTTAAATGACAGAAAAAGTAGTTCATACATGTATCTATATAATCTGTTGAAATTAGGTTACCATAAGCCCTCAATTTGTATTAGATAGTTTTAATTAGTATGGAAACTTGTTGCTTTCTGTGTAAGTTAGATACCAAATTTCATCATATTTCAGACTAGAAAATTTTACTCTTAGGATTTAAAGTGATGGGTCTTTGAAAGTTGACTCTTAGATCTAAATTCTAGTTTCCAATTTGTAAACTCTGCCAGACCATGTTTTAGTTCTAGGCGAGGACTGATGATTATGTCTTTGCTTTTGTTAGGGTTCACTCAAAAAGGCAGCCTGGATGAAATAAGTTGATTGTCAGTTCATCACAAAGACCAATGATGAGTTTGGGGAATCCTATTAAAATAACTGATTTTAGCGTGTGAAATAAAACCTATTCAAATATTTAAGTAGATAGTGGAAGATACCTAATATATTTTACAATTATGCTTATAGCTTTCAAATTCTGCCTCCAATACACGCGTAAGGCTGAATTCCGTAAACTGTGTGACAATTTGAGAATGCACTTATCGCAGATTCAGCGCCACCATAACCAAAGTACGGCAATCAATCTTAATAATCCAGAGAGCCAGTCCATGCATTTGGAAACCAGACTTGTTCAGTTGGACAGTGCCATCAGCATGGAATTGTGGCAGGTATGTTGGAACTATTAGCTTTTCTTTCTAGAAATAATAGTGTGTGTTACTTTCCTTAGTGAATAGCTTCATCTTGGTATGCGTTGGTTAATTTCAGTAGATAAGGTAAGAAATTAAAATTGCCTGATGGTCTGTGAAAAGTTCTCAACAAGAAATCTCAGAATATTTTCGTTCTAGTTGGCTTCCATGAATTCTGGACCAAACCATGTAGTATCTTTCAGACACAGTTTCTCAGCATATAAAACAGTACGTTGCCAGTACTGCTCAAATGTGGTTTCATGACTAGTGTCATTTGTGAACTGTCTGGTCTGTGATGAAATAAGTATAGAGGAGAAAAGCATATGCAGAGTTTCTTAGGAATTTTATTGTAAATTTTTTGTGTGTTTACTATGATAAAAATTGAGCTTTTTCTGTTTCATTTTTGTGGTAATTTTGTATTTTATATTCTTTGGTAAGAGGTTAGAAATTAAAAAAAACAAAAACAAAAACGAATCCTTTACTACTGATAGTTGCAGAAGTGCTGCTGTAGGCTATTTTGAGATTTCTTAGTGCGGCTTTAGCTGACTGTCGTGCATTGGAGATCTCGGTGGTGGTGGGAAGCTAGTCCTCTACCTGGCCCTTCTCTAAGAATTCTACAAAGACATTCCATACAATTGTGTAGTCATGTGACTTTGAAGTCTTTTATATATTTGATGGACAATATTTTATTGAAATTATAAGGAAGAAACTAAAAATTGGGAGTCTTTGAGCCAAGTGAAACTGATTCCATGTCTTGTTCTTCCCCATGTTTCCTTTTCTGTAGGGACACCCATCTTAAAATACTACCAGTAGAAGATAAGTAAACATGCTCATGATAGAACAAAATGTATAAGTTAAGAGAAATATTCATCCATTATCTTATCACTGAGAAATAACTTGTTGTATATCCTTCTAGATTTTTTTCTTATTGCCCCGAGTGATGGGATAATATGCAAATATTTTCTTTAGTCTGCTCTGTCTACTTTCCAGTATTTCCTAAAGAAATTAAAAGAGTTTAAGGAGTTCGTGTTTTTGTAATTATGGCAGTTTTCTAAAATATATGAGATATTAAATTATACATGAATAAAGAGAACCACATATCAAGGTATTTTATTTGCTATTCTTATGTTTTCCATGTTGTAGATTTTATAGAAATTTGAATTAGATTTTTTTTTTATGTTATAGAATGCAGTGACTTTAATTTATACTACTAATTTTAGGAAGCGTTCAAAGCTGTGGAAGATATTCATGGGCTATTCTCCTTGTCTAAAAAACCACCTAAACCTCAATTGATGGCAAATTACTATAACAAAGTCTCAACTGTATTTTGGAAATCTGGAAATGCTCTTTTTCATGCATCTACACTCCATCGTCTTTATCATCTTTCTAGAGAAATGAGAAAGAATCTTACACAAGATGAGATGCAAAGGTAAGAATGTTATAGTTGGGTAATGTTGAAATTCTGTAACAAATACTGTCTGTATGACATGGTATTATATTCTCAGCCATGGTTTTTCAGCCTCTGCACTATTGACATTTTGGATTGGATAATTCTTAGTTGTCGGGCTGTCCTGTGTTACTGCAGGTTGTTTAACAGTATCCGCAGCTTCTACTCATTAGGTGTCAGTAGCAACCACCGCCAGTTGTGACTACCACAGATGTCTCAAGACATTGCCCTTCCTGAACAGTATTCTTGGTTTTCGGTAGTTTGACAAGTAATCCCACTAAAAGCCCAATTGAGATATTTGAATATTACGAAAAATACATTTAATGGATGAGCTTTCTACAGGTATTTAAAGTCTATTTGTTTTTTGTTTTTTTTTTTCCGAGACAGAGTTTCGCTCTTGTTACCCGGGCTGGAGTGCAATGGTGTGATTTCGGCTCACCGCAACCTCCGCCTCCTGGGTTCAGGCAATTTTCCTGCCTCAGCCTCCTGAGTAGCTGGGATTACAAGCACGTGCCACCATGCCCAGCTGATTTTTTCTATTTTTAGTAGAGACGGGGTTTCACCATGTTGACCAGGATGGTCTTGATCTCTTGACCTGGTGATCCACCCGCCTCGACCTCCCAAAGTGCTGGGATTACAGGTGTGAGCCACTGCGC